TTTTTTTTTTTTTTTTTTTTTTAATAGAGAATGGCATCGTATTCTGGGCAAAGGGAAAGGGTAACCGTTAAAATGCTTCCCCTCCAATTTAGGTATGGAGGACTGGGGGAGGAGGGAAAGGGGGGCAGGAACTCTTTTACCCTAATATTTAATCAATCACAGATATGTGAAACAAGTGAAGAAAATATTTTCAGTCACTAATTTAATAGTACTAATTTATTTTGTAGTACTCATCTCTTTTTAGGTGCAAATTTTCAAAACAAATATATGTTATGAACTATTTTAAAAACCACCACTAAAAACCACACAAGTAGGATCATAAAAGGATACAGGACTACCAAAGACAATACAGGGATTATTGAAGTCAGATAATTTTGCTTAATCAGCCACAAGAACCAATTACATGAAATCTTGGCTCCACTGAAATGCAATGGAGCTTTGTCACTGACTTCACCGAGGCCAGACTTTCAGCCATGATTTTTTGAGAGCCAGCTTACCTCAGGAATACATGCACCTGTGAAGCCGAACAAACCATTGGCATTATCACTTTTTTGTATTCTTAATCTTGCTGTAGTATTGTCTTTCGAAATTCGAGCTCCCCCACGCACAGAGATAAGCTTAAGTATAAATAACTCTTCTCCTTCCTCCTCTTTGTCATCTCTTGCAGACACAATGAACGATTTATTGGTCTCTCCCTGTCGATATTCCAAATACCCGGAGATAGGGTGCATATCACTCTTTGCAGGAGTTGCGTGAAGTTCATAGATTTCTGGTCGTGTTAATTTACGCTCATAAAGCCTTACATCCTGCATGAAACCTGTGTACCTGCTACGACCATTCATCCCTGCACCAACTCTCATTATCCCAGGACCTAGACAAGAGAGAAAAATTGACAATAATTTAATCCATCTCCCCCCAAAGTGTGTAAATGAGTAACTGTTCCTGTTAAAGTCAATGGTTAACCCTTTATAGTCCCCAGACAAGAAACTGGTATGTCAACAACCATCTTCTCTTAGAAACAAAATACTGGAGGGCATTGCTTATTCACAGCGAAATTGCAGGCACAACATGATATAGCCCCTTTCAGAAACTGCTCAAAGTCCATCTTAACATTAACTGCTCCAAGTACCCCTTCTGGCAAGTTCTAAAGCCTCGCTGCTCTGATAGTTAGAAAACTGTCTCTAGTTTCCAGACTAAATTTATTCATGGCTAATTTATACCCATTTATTCCTGTGCTAACATTGTCCTTTAGCTTAAACATATGTACTCTCTCCCTTGTCTATACCAGCCTGATATATGTATAGAGACAATCATACCCTTAACTCTTTTAGTCTTCTGGTAAGACAGGTTCTTCAACTCCTCTGGTCACCCAACCAGGCCCTCTTCCCACTTCTTCGAGATGAATTAATCTTTCTTACATGTGAGTGACCAGAATTGTATACAGTATCCCAAATGAAATTTCACTTGTGCCATTTACAACAGCATTAATATTTCCCTGTCTGTACTGGAAATCATTCTTCTGATGCATCCTAGGATTGCATTTGCTTTTTTCACTGCCACATCACATTGCTAGCTCATAGTCATCCTATGATTGACTAGGACAATGAGGTCTTTCTCACTTGTCTTCAAGTGATGAGCTGCCATCTTATAACAGAAATTGTTATTAGCCCTTGCACTTTATACTCTTAAATTCTATCCCGTTTCTATTACCCTACTCCTCAAGGTCATCCACCTGACTTATTAGTTTTTAAAATCTCATGAATAACATTAGTGTTTTTATCTACACAGAGCCTCCATGTGCAAAATAAAAAGCTTCTGTTGAAATGTATTGCTCTCAGGGTAATATATTCCCTGTTTCCTTCCCTCCCTTCACCCGCCACCCACAACCCAGATGTCGAGAGGCCACTAAACTATTTGGGTTCTAAACTATTCAAGATAAGCAAGTCAAGTTATAAGTGTTAGCTGCTATGCAGTTAGCAAAAATAAGTAAGTGCTCAGTGCAAAAGGGGGAAAAGTGACAGAGCAGAATTAAAATCCTGGATAACCACAGAATAGTACAGAACCAACAGAAGATTACACAATGACCAAAATCTGCAAAGCCTGTGTTTAGGCATCTATACACATATTCAAGTAATCTGAAAGAATTCTCCCAGTTTTGTTCTCCTAGGAGAAAAACCTACCAAGAGACACCTGAACAGACATTCAAATGCTGTCCCTAGAAGAGCAGAGAGCTTGCCATGCTGACACTGTGCAGCCAGTATGCACTGATAGCTCCCTCAGTCTGCCTGGACACAGAATGCAACAGTGCACAGGGCAGCCCTGATTGCCTGACCCTAACGGCCAGTCTCCCTCAATGCTCACCTGAAGCAGCAGAGTCTATCTAGCAACACGCTGTTCCCAGGTGGGGAGGGGAAAAGGAAGGTGAGACAGGGACACAAAACAGCTTGGGATGCTGGAGGACTGCAGTGGCTTTTCTCAAAAGAAGATGTCTGCAAGCATTCATTCTCCCAGGAGAAACCCTGGTTGTTCCTAGGTTATTTTTCTCCTGGAGAAGCCATTTTTGCTCAGGAGAAAAATCCTGAATGTCTTTACACTTGTGGTTTCCCCTGTGAAATCAGCAATCGAGGGGAAACTAAATGTCTGTATGTGGTCTAGGTCAGCTCTCTCACTTGTTTGTATTTTTTGTGACTGATTTATATTGGCTGCAGTGCAAATGATAGAGCATGTCCATGCTAATTACTCTGTATCAGGGTAAAAATCCTTGCATTTCAGTCCAGGTTGCCTTAAACTGTTTTACACATGACCTATCCTAATACAGTTGTATCAAGGTGTGACAGGGGAGAGTGAATACTATTTCAGTGCCACAGGTCACACCTCTGGTTTCTGCTGATGTCTTTATCAGCCAGTCAGCCATCTGAGTATCTGGTAGTCTAACCAACAAATTACAGGCAGCTCTCTTCACCTGTAATTACAGGTGACGAAGCTCAAGGACTTAGGAGCACAACTGGTCTTTCTCCTCAATCCTCCCAGTCAGAGGCTGTGGCCATTGGAGGGAGGAGTGCATCAAGGAGGTCAACTGAAGGCTTAGGAGATGGTGACATCTTGTGGGCTTTGGATACCTCAGCCTTGGTCCGCAGTTTAATTACAGTGGTCTACATGCAAGGGACAGTATTCATTTCACAGGCAGGAGGAAGAAGCTCTTCACTATGGGAGTCAATGACTTGTTGAGAAGGGCTTTACACTAGGCACATCTGGGGCTGGGGAGAAGGTTCCATTGCTGTGCATGAATCCTCTAGACACAATGGCACACAGGACGGCGTTAAAGCAATGGACATCCACATAAATACTAATATCTTGAGACAGGCAGTGTGACAGAAAACCTGAGGCGACTAGGGGGGAACTCAGGTGTCTTTATGGGAATGCCAGAAGCATGAGAAATAAACAAGAGGAACTGGCACTCCTTCTGATTGATGAGGAATTAAATCTGATTGGGTTGACAGAGACCTGGTGGGATGAAACACATGATTAGGCAGTGAATATTGAGGGCTATAGGCTTTACAGGAAGGATCAGGTCAGGAAGAAGGGAGGACGTGTGGCCCTCTATGTGAAAGAGTGGTACCCCTCCCTGCAGGGCACACTTGACAGCAGGGAAAGGTCCCTTGAGACCCTCTGGGTCAGGATACAAGGGAGAATCAGGAGAGATAGACCTTATGGTGGGAGTCTACTACAGGCCTCCCTCCCAAGGAAAGGACTACGATCAGGCATTCTCTGGAGACCTGACTGAGGCAGCTTGCACTAGAGACATAATAGTCATGGATGACTTCAACTACCCTGATATCTGTTTGGAGTACCACTCAGCCACATCCAGCAGGTCAGCCAACTTCTTGGCAACAACAGACTATCTGTTTCTGACACAGGTTGTGGAGGGGCCTGCTAGGGGTAAGACCACTCTGGATTTAGTGCTGACCAAGGGGGAGAACATCAGAAATGACCTGAGGATTGGTGGTACTGTGGGCAACAGTGATCATGACCTGATAAGGTTCATCATCCACCATAAAACTGGGAAATCAATCAGCAGAACAGAAGTCCTAGATTTCAGGAAGGCAGATTCTGGCAAACTCAAGAAGCTAGTTGGAGAGGCCCTCTGCGACCAGCAGCTGAATGATTTGGGAGTCTAGGTGGTGATTCTTTAAGGAGGCAATTCTCACAGCTCAAAAACAGGCCATCTCCAGGCAGACAAGAAGTGGAAAAGGAACCAAGAGACCCACTTGGCTCAACAGAGATATTACGGAGCTATTGAAAAAGAAAGAAAAAATCAGATAAACAATGGAAGAACGGGTCAGCAACCAGAGAGGAATATACCAGTATCGCCAGGGCCTGCAGATACAAGACACAAAAAGCTAAGGCAGGCATGGAAATCAAGCTGGCAACCAGCATAAAAGACAACAAAAAGTTCTTCTACAGATACATAGGGAGCAAGAGAAAAAAAACAAAAAAAACCCAAAACCCACTGTGAGACCCCTACTGAATACTCAGGGGCAGCCCACAGTCAATGCCCACAAAAAGGCAGAATTCCTAAATACATACTTCACGTCAGTATTCCTGAAGTCAAATGGATGCTGTTTGCCTGGCCAGAGGCTCAGGGAACATGGGGAAGGCAACAGATTAAATTAAACCAGTCCTGAACAGTAAGGGATCTCCTACAATACTTGGACACTTTCAAGTCTGCTGGGACAGGCGACCTACACCTCAGACTCCTGAAAGAACTGGCTAAATTTATAGCAGCACCACTGGCCAAGTTGTCTGAAGAGTCATGGAACTCAGGAGTGGTCCCAGATGACTGGAAGAGGGCCAATGTTGTCCCCATCTTTAAGAAATGAGAGAGGGATGACCCTGAGAACTACAGACCAGTCAACTTGACTTCAGTCCTAGATAAAAATCTCTGAAAAATTGTTAAGGAGGCCATCAATTACAAGCTGGTAACTGATGGGGTGTTAAGAAGCAACCAGCACAGTTTTGTCAAGGGTAGATCATGCCTGACAAACTTAGTATCCTTCTACGACCAGGTTACTAGCCATCTGGACAAGGGACACAAGGTTGACATCATTTACTTAGGCTTAAGTAAAGCCTTTGATTCCATTTCCCACGAGCTTCTCTCAAAACAAACTGGAGGGTACTGAGCTGGACCAGTCTACAGTGAAGTGGGTGGACAACTGGCTTAGAGACTGCTCCCAGACTGTTGTAATCAATGGCTTCATCCTGGAGGACTGTCTCCAGTGGTGCCCCCCAGGGGTTTCGTGCTTGGACCTGTGATCTTTAATATATTTATTAATTATCTGGACGAGGGGGTGGAAAGCTCAATGATTAAGTGCACGGATGCTACCAAGCTGTGGGGAAATGCGGGCATATTAGAGGATAAGGTAAAGATCTAGGATGACCTTGATAGACTGGATTCATGGGAGGAACGGAATCAGATGAGGTTTAACAGGAAGAAGTGCAAGGTCCTTCATCTGGGTAGGAAGAACCCCCTTCATAACTACACCGGGGTCGTCAACCGAGGATATGTGGACCAGTCTTAGGGTGTACACGCGGGCAGGTGAGGACACAGCGCCACTGCCTCCCAGGAGCAAGGGCAGAGGCACCCCTCTGCAGGGTGGGGAAGCTCACACACAGTACCTGCCACTACACACCAGCCCAGTGAGCTTCCCTGCTCCACAGAGGGGCACTCCTGCCCTCACCCCAGCCCAATGAGCTTCCCCACCCCACCCCAGCCCTGCTCCTGGGAGGCAACAGTGCTCCATCCCTGCCTCACCTTGTCCAGCTGCACACCACCCCCTCGAGCTCAGCATCTGGCCATGTACTACCCACCCCCTCTGCTCAGTATCCGGCTGCCAGGGGTACTTAGACTAAAAAAGATTGAAAACTACACGATGGGTGTCGGTCCACTGGCTCGCACATCTTAATGAGACCTGGGGGTCACAACTGACCTGAAGATGGACATGAGCCAATGGTATGATGAGGTTGCCAGAAGGGCGAATAGACCTCTGACACACATCCGCCAATGTGTGGCCAACAGATCCAGGAAGGTGCTCCTCCCTCTCTATTTGACATTGGTGAGGCCTCAGCTGGAGTACTGTGTCCAGTTCTGGGCACCGCACTTCAAGGAAGATATGGACAAGCTTGAGAGGGTACAAAGAAGGGCCACCCATATGGTTAAAGGCATGGAGGATAGGCCCTATGGGGAGAGACTCCAGGACTGGGCCTGTTCAGTCTGAGTAAGAGACAGCTGAGAGGTGACCTGATAGCTGACGTATAAGTACGTCAAGGGTGAGTATCAAGATCTAAGGGAGCAACTCTTCAGAAAGGCACCTCAAGAGAGGATGAGGACCAATGGGCATAAGCTAATAGAGAGTAAATTCAGGCTAGACATAAGAAAAAATTTTCTCTGTAAGGGTCACCAGAATCTGGTACACACTCCCAGCATAGGTGGTGCAGTCACCCTCAATGGAGCTGTTCAAGATGAAGCTGGACAGGCACCTTGTCCAGCTCATCTGAGCCCAGTAACTTCCTTCTCATGGCAGGGGACCAGACATGATGATCTTACAGGTCCCTTCCAGTTCTGTGATTCAGAAAGAGACTACCAGTTGCTGACTCAGACATGAATCACCAGCTGGAGCTACAATGGGAGGATCCCCAAGTACCAGTCTCCCCTCTCTTGCAACTGTCAAAACTCTCCACCATAGATAGAAAGGAAGATGGCAACTGCATTCTTGTAGCTGCATCATGCAAATATCCTTATTATGGGCACAGAGGCCTTTTCCTCATTTTTTCTCTTTTCCAAGATAAATGGGGCATGGTGGGTATAGCAGCCAGAAAAAGCAGCTAGAAAAGGATGATTCTAGTATATATACTATTTTAAAGATGTATTTTGATAGTCTTTTCATTTTTGTATATGATCTTTTCTGAGTTTAAATCTTACCTAAAAGCTTTTCTATCTAAGAAAAGATAACATCAAATCTGTGCAACTGAAGTGTTTAATTAGCACAGTGATTCTCATCCAGGGTGCCAAGACACCCTGGCTAAGTACAGACAGTCAAAAAAGCCTGAGGCTGAATCAGTTCAATTTTCACAGGTTAGTCTAAGCCACGTAGATTAAATTAATAAGCAAGTGAACAGACAATCACTTTTGATTCCAGAAAGGCAACCACATGCCTGCAGTGGCTCAGGCTAGAAGCAGGGAAGCTAGAGCACACTTCCCTGCTCAGCTACAGCAGACAGGCTAGCCAGTCCATCCTGTGAGGGGAGTGGCAGGGTTTGCAAGGGAGATACAAAGCATCCTGGGATGCTGGGAGACTGAGTTCATTTGACTCTAGAGGAGATCTGAGACAGAAGTTCAATAAACCAATTTAACCTAAATCAGTTCAGTTTGATACCTCATCCATCCATGTTGATTTTAAACTGGTTTCAGCCATTCTGAAAGCAGTTTACATGCACTGATCTTTTGTTGTGTTACAGATTTGAACCGGTTTTACCAGTTTGTTTAACTTCTGTCTTTAGACCCTGGGGAGCATCAGGAAATAAGCATATAAACCAAGTTCAGTCTCGTCCCTGCCTGAACAATCCCCCCATCCCAACTGCACAGCCCCCCTGCAAGGAGATAAGTACTGAGACAAATTAGTTTTTGAAATTGTGCTCCATTCACAACAGCTTAAGTCCAATGGAGGATGTGCCTTGAGCCGAAAAAGTTTAAGAACTACTGGATTAGGGCAACGTATGTCAGTCACACCTAGCAAGCATTTTCCTACTGTGCATACCTCATACACTTTAACATTTCATAGAAGGTATAAGAATGTAAGTATTCAGCAGTCTCAAGTTCCTTTGTTTTAAAAACAGAATAGAAAAAGTCCTCTCAGCTGTCACACTATAAATCTAAATGGAGGCCCATTAATTTTGATGGTGATATTCTACTGTTAATGGAGAACAAAATTTGATCCTCAGGCTCCAATCAAGGAGAAAGCAAAAAAATAAAAATGAGATGAAGGTAATTCAATCCCATACCATTGGTTTTGATACAGGAATTGCTGAGTGCATTTCCATGACTAGTGTGGTGAAAACAGACTAGATGACGAAAATGTTTTCTTTGACTTTGAATGGTTTTGAATAGGAATAAGCCTAACTTTCAGCAGAATTTAAAAAAAAGTATTATTTGATAAGGACAACATTACTGTCCTTAGACCAACACTGCGTCAACCAAAACCTTATTATTGGATCCGTACTCAAGTAGATCTAAACCCTGAAAGAAATCATTAAACATATTAACTTAGTTTAAACCCAATATTAGAGTAGATCGAATTTTATTAGCAAATTGTACAGTGTCAGCTCCACTTCATCATAAGTTGCCCAACTATATAGCCATATGTTTTTGGGGATTTTTTTGAAAAGCTAGAAGGGAGTTCTCTTGAGATTTTTCTTTAACAAACTAGCATATATGGCAATTTATTTCAATATTTGATGTCTACTTTTTATTTAGTGCAGAATTTTTTATAGAAAAGAAATTAAGGTTGTTGGCTTACCATTAGCAATAGCTTCTCCCTTCAGACTCTTCATTCCACCAGTCACTGGATTGCCATCTATGTAAAACTCAATTATGCCATCATCCAAGGTAATCAGAAGGTGAAGCCAAGTATTTTCCTCCAGGTATTTCATGATAGTTTTCTTAGCCACATATGTAACGTTAGATCCCAATGTTGCATAGTGAAGCATAACAGTAACATGGGATTCATTGGTTTGGATTTTCACACCATAATATAAGGTCCCATTTCCATTGTCCTTTGCTATTATAAACCCATCACTATTAGGGTTAGGAATCACCCAAGCTGAAAACGTAAAATTGGCAAGTGTGTTATTTGTGCTGTCCTGGTACTCAGGGCCAACAATCCCAAATGCATCCTCATTTCCACTGAAGTACAAAGCATCAGTTCCACTGTGATGACGCCTCATGTGAGGTTGTGACTGTACCGAAGCAGGGAACAAGCCAAGCAATAAGAAGTCCATCATTGGTGGTAGTCCTGCTTGGAATTCACCAGACAATATTTCCCAGCCAATCTGGACATCTCCAAAGGTGCCCTGCTGCCTCCAAATTGTAAAGTTTGTAATACAGGAGAGATCATCTTCAGAGAGAACATCTTCTGCTATCTCCCTGTCCTGGCTCTCTGGATCTATGACAAAGACTCCAAAAGGGTCATCATTGAATGGGATCATTACAGTTACAGCAAGGCTGGTTTCAGCTAACTGGCCACCAGGGCCTGGAGTCCCACCTGTGATGTAAATTAAAACAAAATTTAATGTGACTCCTGCTCCATACAGCAGTATAAAGACAAGCCCATCCAGACAACCAAAGATTGCTTTTTATAAATTATTTTACAGGGAGCTAACTTTTCTTGATAAAGGAAATATGTAAAATTTTGAGCAATGAATAAAATGTTGCCTCAGAATTATTAATTAAAAACTAGCATAATGGTGTATTTTTTAATAGAACCATAAACCCGCATTATAAATGTGTTAAGTATGGAATAAGCAGAGGCATTTTCAGCAAAAATAGCATATCCGCAATTCTTCTGAATTTGCCAGTAAGATCAATTTTGTTTAAACTGGTAGAGAAAATGGGCTACATTTTATTTAAATGTATAGCAAATATGTCAGTTTTCCACTGGGGTATATGAGGGCAAAATTTGGCCCGTTGCCTCCGAACCAAAAAGAGTACATAAATGAAATACAGTGCAGAGCTCGGTAACAAAACACACCTTGTGGCTAGGGACAGAACTTACACATAAACTGGTTTAAGTGATAAGAAACTGGTTTAAACCTGTAACAGAACAGAAGTTCAGTACACATAAACCAGTTGCAAAATGGCCAAAACTGGGTTAAGGTAAACCTGGCTGAATGTCGCATCAGACTTATCTGATTGAAGTCCAAGTGGTTTATGGAACTTCTGTCCCAGACCCCTTCCTGGTTTAAGTTAAATCAGAGCCTCCCAGCACCCAAACATGCTTTTCAGTGCTAGGCTACGACGGCAGGATTGACCCCACTCCTCTGGTCTCTAGCCAGACCGGTGAGGGCTAGCTGACAAGGCGGTGGGAAACCTGGCTGGGGACCGTGCTGGGGCCTCAGAGGGGTTTTAATTCTCACTTCCCCAGCCCAATGTGCTGCCCACACTGCCTGCTCTTTGCTGGAGCAGGGCGTGGGGCATGGGCAGGCAACAGCCTGAGAAGGACTGCTCCCCCCAGGCAAACCCTGGGTGGGGTATGGGAGGGGCTTTAATTCCCACTTCCACAGCTCAGTGTGCTGGCGCCAAGCCCTGCAGGAGCAGACTGAGAGATGGGAGGCATTGGCAAAGACTGGACACAATCATCACATGTATGTGCTGGAGATAGAGCTAAGGGAACAGGAAAGGGTCCTGGACTGCTTTTGTGACCAAAGGAAGCAGAGAACTACATTTACAAATGGCAGAAAACCAGCAGACTCCACCACCTCCCATCTCTGCCAGAGACTGAAGCAAGCAGCTAACAAGGACAAGGGGAGGGGGCATAATTCCCCTCAGCTCCCCCAGGACAGGAGAGGGTCCCAGAGAGCTTAAGCCAGTATGAACAAAGAAAGCAGAGAACTACATTTACATTATAAAGCAGAACCTGTAAAAGGTGGGAGACTGGAATATCTAAGCAGGACTTTCTGCATACCTGGCTGTAAGGAGATGCTCTGCCCTCGGGATTATGTAAGACTTATGCAAGGTTTCTCATGTCTTTTTGGTTTATTACATTCCATTTCAAGTTAGACTATGCCGCATGCACTCTCACTGTGTTTTCCTGGGCTGTATCTTAGTTTAGGCAAAGGGTTTTGGTTGTTCTGTCCTGTGCTTGAGGTTGCAAAGTACTGTGTTTAATACATATTTGCTTCAGGACTATTTTTGTTCAGGCTTTTATGAATTCAATGCCAATACCTTTCTCCCTCCCCACCTCGGCAGGGGCTCCTCCCCTCCCCAGCACAGGATTGGGGGAAGAAACCTAGTAGGCACTGTACCGACCAGGCAGACCTGGGCTAGGGTCTCCACTGTCCAGCAATCTAGCCCGGCTCGTGCCTGCCCACACCCCTCCTCTGAAACAGGAAGAGGCAGGGAAGCCTCGGAGGGATTCTCTTCCCTTCCTTTTGGCTGTAGCCAGCAGACATGCTCTAGCTCTCCCTGGCTTCTGGCTTGAGCCACTGCAGACATGTGGCTGCATTTCCTGAATCAAAAGTGAATGTCTGTTCATTTGCTTATAGGTTCAATTTGGGCAACTTAAACTAACCTGCAAAGACTGAATCAATTCAGCCTTCGACTTTTTGACTGTCTTTACTTAGCCTGTGTGCCTAATAAACAGCTTACCCCCCTCTCCCCCGTTTGTTTGTTTTTTAAGGTATAGATGTATTTATAACAGGAAGATCATCATTATTAACAGAGAACTTAATGTTTAAAAATAAAAGACTAGTTTTACTGGTTGTAAATCTATACCATACATCTATGGAGTTATGGAATAAGTAGTTCATTGAACTACCTGAAATGCTAAGTCACTGGCAATTGGTTGGGAAAAGGTCAGGGGAATTTTCAATTCTTTCTGGGCACAGAAAAACTTTGTCAGTAAAAAAAAAAAATACTTTAAAACATAAGCCCTCGTTATCAGAAGCAGCAGCAGTTATGTCTAAAAGAATTTCGCTGTAGCCTCACCCATTCACCTTTGCGGGACTAGCCACATTGTGGCAGGGTGGTTGTAAACCATAGTAACAATGGCATTCTTCTGCCCAAAGTTCTGTATTTCAGAAGTCAAACAGTTGCCCCCTATATCTGAAACAATTTGAATGCGATTTCTCATAAAAAACCCAATAATCTAGTAACAAACTGTCTTACTGTGCTGGATCGAGCTGTGTGCATATTAAAATAAAAAATAAATGTTTGGTTTAGGAAAATGGTGAATTATAAAGAAAAAATATAAACAGCTAGGGCTATGTCCATGATACTTTCCATATTTAAAGCTTAACATTCATCTGGTTTTATAATAGGAGAGTTTTATAATAGAAGGTCTAAGCATAGAGGAAGAAATAGAAGAGAGAAAGTTACCTGAGGCATTCACCAATTTTAGAGTATAAAATTCATTGAATTCAGGAATTTTATCAGGGATAGCATGAAGAGTTATTGGTTTTGATGCTTCACCATCCAAAAACCACACAGTCCCATATGTTTCATAGAATTCTTGTCCTGGTTCCAGAGAAGAATCATTCTTAAACAGCTGCCAGGTCAAGGAAACATTGCCAAAGTGTCCTCTGTGCCTTATAATCCTGCGCAATGAATTGGGCACAATGAGCTTTCTGGCAGGCATGTATCAAACAGTAAACAAGAACAAAAGAAATCCAGGTGCAGACCTTCTGTATAATCAAATGCAATTTATAGTTCTCCAAATAATTCATTCACAGACAGTATAAGCAATCTACTCTTGAAGGCTTACGGCCTCATGGTTGAATTCTACCTCAGGTATACCGGCATATCTCATACATTCCTTCAAAAATACCTACAATGACCTCTCCATAAGCGTGCACCACACTACAGTGTTTTTAAGTTGCACAGCAATACACCTTATCATAGAGAAGTAGGGCTGGAGTGGACCTCCAGAGATCATGTAGTCTAATTCCCTGCCTGAGGCAGGACCATCGCTATCCAAACCATCCTATACAAATCATGATCTGAAATCTACATAAGAGTTGACCTTGCGTTATTAAGGATATAAAGGAGTTCTGCATCTCATAATTTTTGCAGTTCAGGGCCCTTAGAGGCCAAACTCTTTTTTCCCACCCCTTCTGTGGTATCAGTTTTTCAGCTTCACTCATTTACCAATATACGAGTACCAGCTAGTATACCTATACCCAGTTGGTTAGGTTTTTTTTAGAGGAGACTTCCATCTGTTCCTATACCACAAACCTAAGCTAAATATAATATCTATTCAGCTAAGGTTCAGAAAAGACATGACCCTTTCCCAGTAGGCTGTCTAATTAGACCTTTAAATATTGTATTATTTAAATACAAAGACTCTCTATAGAGAGTTCCAGTCACATGCTTTTATCCAAAAAAAGAATCAAGAGAAAAAAATAATAAAAATATAAAGAATCAACCTTCTCAGACTAGCATCCTGGCCACAATGTCTCTAGTTTACCTCTGCCTGCTCCCTTCCTGGGGGAAGAAAAAAAAAAAAAAATCACCCAGCAGCTCATGCTGATTCTCCTGGCAAGTAACAAGGGCCACCTGTCAATAAAACCCAGTTTCTTAATCCCTTCTGTTCTATAATCACTATGGGGGTGGGGCGGGGTATATGGATAATAAGCTTTGTTTTCAGGGGATGGTTTATGGCAAGGTCATTTTAGCCTAGAGGGGTATCTAATGTGGACTGTGAAGGTCAACATCATTTGTAACAGGTAAGTGAAACAAAATGAAGTATAAAAAAAAAGAATGAAGCAATCAAATGGGGTAAATTTTCGGAACTAGGTTCAAGGATTACTAGGCATCTCACCATAAAAATCAACAGCTGAAAAAGAAACCATTTGGTTTT